TAAACTTCTTTTTCCTAAAATTAAAAATTTAAAATGCCACGTCAATCGAAAAGAAGCAGAGAGGATTATTTGGAAGAAGAAAAAGGGTAAGTGTTTTAAGGATGGCGATGGTGGTTATCGCCCGCCACTCGTCGTCACTCTAGTTTCTATATTAATATTAAATATATATATATATCCGGTCCCGTTTACTTCGTCGAAAATTATTTCGTCGACAATCACTTCGACAATCATTTCATCGAAAGTTCATTTTGTCGAAAGTTTGTTTCATCGAAAGTTCATTTCGTTGAAAATTATTTCGTCGACAGTTCATTTCATCGGCTTATGTATCGTACTAATGATAAATGAGGTGATGATAGTGATGGCAACAATATCGACATTGAATATTTTAGTATTGATAATAATTATTGTTTTTTAGTAGAGTGTGTGGATCAGACAAATTGGTAATATTCCTTTCATGATACGTAAATTTGAGTCATTCGTATACTTGCAAACTAATTAGCACTCTGATTTTACCTGAATTTTTCTTTCTTAATTACAATCATACAAATGCAAATTATACTAATAATAAATAAATTAAATGGTAGTAGTAGATACTAAACAGTGCAATGCATATGTTACGCTAAATCATTAAATTGAAAATTAGTTTTTGATATTATTAAAATCGTATGATTAAATGGGTCTGACAATCAAGTAAGGTTTCTAGCCTAAACTGTTTCTCAAAGCTCAAACTATTTTGTCGATTTGGGTTTTTCAACGTTTTTTATATAGGGGTAGGTATATTAGACCAGAAACCTTACAATCAAGCCATCAGACGAATTTTGTGCTTTAATAATATCGTGTTAAATAAATAAATAAAAACTAATTTTTTTGTCAATTTTTGGCTAGCATCATAACTATGCATGCTCTATAAACTTGTTTTTTAAAATAATAAATTTTTTTTTGTTTATTTTTTTGGTTAGTATTTAATTTTGAAAAATTTTTAAAATCAAATTGGTTATTGTTACCAATCACTTGCTAACTCGAAAGAGTATACAATATATCTGATTTATTAAACAATTAGAAATGTGTAAAATTTTTGCGCATCTTTTAATTTGTAATATAAAGGAATTTGGCGAAAACCTACTTTGTACAAAGATGGGTTTTAAAATTTTTAAAATCAACGATTACCTATTGTTACCAATCACTTGATACCCAGAAAGAGTATGGTTTGCTTGTTGTCTACATGACAATTTTTCATTATAAATATAACTATAATTCGCAAAGACATCAGAATAAAATTTTCTTAATTAATTTGATAATAACTATCATAATAACTTTATCATAATCATATCACATATATAAACTATTGAATGATTGATAAAACCTTCGTTAGTATATTTTGTTCATAGATCTTGTCCTTAAAGCTTACTTCGATTACTCCTACACAAACTATTAATTAATTGATAAACGTTTGTTAGAATATTACTTCGATTATTCCTACACAAACTATTGAATAATTAATAAAACGTTCGTTAGAATACTTTGTTCATAGATCTTGACCTTAACACTTGTACAAACTATCGAATAATTGATAAAACGTTCGTTAGAATATTTTGTTCATAGATCTTGTCCTTAACACTTGTACAAACTATTGAATAATTAATAAAACGTTTGTTAGAATAATTTCTTCATAGATCTTGTCCTTAAAACTTACTTCGATTACTCATACATAAACTGTTTAATGATTGATAAAACGTTCGTTAGAATATTTTGTTCATAGATCTTGTCCTTAAAACTTACTTCGATTGCTCCTACACAAACTATTGAATAATTGATAAAACGTTCGTCAGAATATTTTGCAAACTTCATATATCTCGTCCTTAACACTTGTGCAAACTATTGAATGATTGATAAAACGTTCGTCAGAATATTTTACAAACTTCATATATCTCGTCCTTAACACTTGTGCAAACTATTGAATGATTGATAAAACGTTCGTTAGAATATTTTGTAAGCTTCATAGATCTTTTCCTTAACGCTTGTACAAACTATTGGATAATTGATAAAACGTTCGTTAGAATATTTTGTAAGCTTCATAGAACTTGTCCTTAAAACTTACTTATACAAACTATTTAATATTTGATAAAATGTTCGTTAGAATATTTTGTTCATAGATCTTGTCCTTAATGCTTGTACAAACTATTGAATAATTGATAAAACGTTCGTTAGAATATTTTGAAAGCTTCATAAATCTTGTCTTAGCGCTTACTTCGATCATTCCTATACAAACTGGATCTTATCATCCTCGAGTCAAACGATGATTCGTTGTCGTCGTTGCTACTAATTATATTATTAATATATTGATTGATGGATCTTCGTATATTACAAATGTAACCAATCAAATCAATTAGCGAATTTTTATCTTTTTTTTAATTTTAAATGTTTTCTTTTAACTAAATAAAAATAAAAATAAATAATAAAAATTAACAAAAGGAAGGGTCATGTCACGAGGGGTCAATACACCCAACATGAGCCACCCGCGTCAGTTCCACCTTCCTAGCACGCGGGACTTTACAGCCGGTCCAAAGTGAGGCATTGCACCTAAGGGAGCCGGACACAGGGGACCATATCCGGTACTTCATCATTGCATGACTTTTCCCTGGTCGATACTATTATACCAATTCTATGACTTATATATTAACTTTTTTTCAAGTTGTGCAAAATATGGGACACCAACCATTTCATTGGATTAAATTTATTCCATAATTTTTATTGTGTAATCTAAAAAAAATAAAATTCAACAGAAAAAGTAGACTGTTAAATACAAGATGTATGACGATACACGAAGCTTCCAAGTAAAATACACTGATGAACGTTCATCAATTATCGAATAGCTTGTATCGAAATACAGAAATAAGTGTTAAAAGTCAAGGTCTATGAATCTGTTTGTAATGAGCGCTTTATCAATTATTCAAATAATTATATAGGCAGACTTGGTCAAAGTAAGTGTTAAAGTCAAGATCTATTTGCAAATCAAGTTTCCAAAACGAACGTTTATTATTATAGGCAGGTTCGATCAAAGTAAGTCTTAAAGTCGAGATCTATGAAGCTGTTTGTAAAATGTATTTAATTAACGTTTTATTATTATCAATTATTCAATAATTATATAGGCGGGTTTGATCGAATTAAGTATTAAAGTAGTCGAGATCTATGAAGCTATTTGTAAAATATATTTATCAACGTTTTATTATTATCAATTATTCAACAATTATATAGGCGGGTTTGATCGAAGTAAATGTTAGTCAAGATCTATGAAGTTTGCAAAACGAATGACCAATAAAAAGTTGTGGGACTAAGTGACTTGCACTATATAAGGTTAGGCCGAGAGATATGGTAAAGAGAAGAGTTAGAAAGAGAGTTGTTTTTCAACCAAGTCAAAAACCAACCCTTTAAATACATCTTCAAGTAGTAGAATTTAATTTATTAGACTATTTTGAAGGCTTGTCGCATGTTTTCTTCCAACTTCTTAAATTTGAACCATTTGTCGAATATTTTTATTAACTCTCATATTAATATAAATAATTCATTTATTTTTACGTTATCAAATTCACGATTTTGATTGGTCAATCAATGATTACATGGATTAAAATTTTGTGTTAAAACATAGCTCTAAACCTTTAATTAGTTTTCGACTAAATAAATAAACAAACATTTAAAACCAAAATTATCCACTAATTAAACTAATATGTTAGTAAACCTATTCATTCTGATCCACATAAACATAATAAACAATTGTTATCATAACATGAATTGTTGTAGAAATGAACTGACGACGAAATAACTTTCGACAAAATGAACTTTCGACAAAATGAACTTTCGATGAAATGAACTTTCGACGAAATGATTGTCGACGAAATAATTGTCGATGAAGTGATTGTCGACGAAATAATTTTCGACGAAATGATTGTCGACGAAATGATTGTCGACGAAATGAATCAGACCCAAAAATCGTTAACGAGCAAGAAGACTACAAGTGTAATGCATTGGTAAAAAAGGCAACAATTGTGGGGCTTTGGCAAAAGGCCACTGTTTATTTAAACAAAGGTTGGACCAACATGTTCATGAACTTTGAACAGAAATCAAAAGTTCGTTTTGAATTGAACTGAACTTGTATTGAACTTCTGCTTTAGTGTGCTGAACCGAACCTGAACATCGTTAGAAGTTTGGTTCAATAGGAGCATATTCTCTGAATTCTCATAAAAGATGTGATAGGTGATAGAACAGAAAATTGATAAATTTATTAAAGTATATAGACAGTTTAAATACAACTGTCAAAGGAATGATTGATATTTGTCAAACATGACAATGCTTTCTTTTTTATAAAAAGGCAAGAACGAACATTAAACTGCGCGATTTCTTGACCGTCAATTCAACTTTTAATTTGTTGCGCTATTTTATTAGCTCGACTACATACACTTTAAAAATCTATTAGCTAAACATCTTATCATTTTCTGATTGATCTAATTATTTTGTGCAGAACAACCTTCAGAGGCTCGTTATTTGCATTGCGTCAAGTGAAAGTGGTCGATGATCTGATTGCAGTTCTGTGAGCTAAAAAGAGATAATAATCTACTATTAAGTGAAATTGTTAATATTATTATGTAAAAGAAATTGGACAAGATCATAAATAATTATATAACTTTTAGATAATAATGACCAGCAAGATTCTAGAAAACATACCAAATTAAAATCTATCCCATTTTTTAGAAGATATGTAAGAAGTATTATGAATTATAAATTCAAAAAGGGTCAAAAAAGGATAATTTTTTATTTTTGATATTTTGTGATAAACAGAGTTATTCTGATTAGTCGAGATCATGATCACATTATTAGGGTTCTTTGTATAGTATAAATATGACTAAAAATTTTTGACATCAGTATTCATTTTGTATTTAACAGTTAAAATAAATAATAATAAATAAATTACTTTATTATACCAAACATAATAATTTTCCTTTACATCAAAAAAAATCTTGAACATCACCATCATTACTACTTATTTTCACCAAATCTCTAACCTTTCGTTTTTCTTTTCCTTTAATTTGATTTCTTTTTGCTGAAAATTTATTTGATTTTTTTTTATTTGATTGTTTTTTCAATAATTTTGTAACACGATCTTTGATTTCTGATTGTGATAAATTATTAGGTTTCGGGATGGTTGTTGTAGATGATGTTGTAGATGATGTAGTATTGATGTTTCGATATGGCTTAAAATCTCTATTAGTGTTATTCTTAATATTGTTCGAATCCTCGAACTCTGAATCAGAATTAGTTTCTGAAACATTTTCACCTTCACCTTTTTCCTCTTCCCTTTTCTCGTTCTTCTCATCATTGTTCTCACCGTTATCATTATCAGATATCTCTTCATTTAAATGTAAAGATGATAGTGATGGTACTTTTATCTATGATATATATAATATAATTATTATACTATATTCATTGTTACATAAATAAATAAATTAATTAGTCAGTCACCTTTTCGTCATCATTATTATTCTCATCAAATACATCTATCGATGGCTTTTTATCAGTTATTCCCTCAATTTCATTATTATTTATTTTGTCATCGTCTTTTCTTTCATCATCATCATAAACATCATCTTCTTCTTCTTCTTCTTCTTCTTCTTCTTCTTCTTCTTCTTCTTCTTCCTCTTCCTCCTCACCATCTTTAATCTCGCTAAATTCGGTTTGAAACTATATATTATCAAAAATTATTATTAATTATATTTCTTCTACATTTTCTTCATATCAAGCTAAATCTATATAATAAAAATAATTTCATTACCACTTCCAATTCTTTTTGTAGTTTCTTTGTGAATCCACTAGCAGACACTTGAACATCTAGATTGAATTCACGGTTTACATCCAATTGAAATTTTGGATATAAAGCACTTTGATAATTATATTTTTTCTGAAAATATGTACGTATACACTCCACATCCCGATTAAAATACCTTTATAAAAAAATATAAAATTTAACCGGAGAAAGAAAAAACCCAAACCAAAATCAAAATTAACGATAACCAACCATTCAGCATTTGGATGAGAAATAGAAACCATTTGAGGAAAATCGATCAAGATGGGTTCACCATTATCTTTAACCAGTATATTAAATTCATTGAAATCACCATGAATTAATCCATATTGAGCAAGTCTAACTATTAAATTCATCAGGTCAGAGTACAATTTTCCTGGATCTTTTACTTCTGAAATCTGATGCCTTAAATAAATAGATAAATTAATTAATTACTATATATGCTATATGTATTTTTTAATATAATAGTTTATCTCTGTAATATTTACAATGGATAAGCATCAATCAATTCCATTATTATACAATGTCTGATTTGATCAATTGGTTTTGGTATAGGAAATCCATTATCATATAAAACCTAATTAATAAACACAAAAATAATGTTCTTAATTTCAATTATTGCTTTTAATATTCTTCAAGTTAATTTGTTTCTTGGAGTAATATTGACCTTCATAAATGCATATTCTTTTGTAGCAGCTAATCTTGACATATACATCCATGAAGCAGATTTCCGTTTTTGAAGATAATCACGTTTTGATTTTATTGCTCGAAATGAAATACGTCCAAGCCTAGTATAATAATTTGTATTATATTATCAGGATCATAAACAATATATTTTACTTCCCCGATTAAATTGTTAAACTTCACCTGTGTATTTTCAAAACATATTGATTTTCTTCTTCGTCAGCAACAATATATATATCTAAAATATTTTCATTATTATGATAATTATAATAATTATTATAGCTATTATTTAGTAATAAAATCTCATTAAATTATATATATATAAACAAACCAGATTCTTTTCCAACACCAATTTGATTTCCAACAGAATAAATATTTCCTCTTTTTGAAAAAGTTTTCAACGCCAAATAATCATATCCACCATATGTTAATCTATATCCATCATCTAAACATTAAAAAAAAAATTTTTCACATTAATCAAATAATTATTTTTTAATCAATTAAAAATATTGTGCATACAATACATTTAGCATTTTTAACTCTAGCTACTAAATTTCTCTTGGCAAGTTCACCCAATATTTTATGACTGCCACCATTACGAAGTCCTGCAATTTGTGCTATTAATATTGTCGGCACTATTTCATGATTTTTAGAACCCATTTCAACCTTTTTAAGAGAAAAATCAAATTATTTAAAACAATGAATTAATTGAATTAATTAAAAGATTAAATCAATCTAATTTGCAAAATCTTACTACAGGTCCCACTTCTTTAAACACCTCTATTAATTGTTCTTCTGTAAGTTCATACGGTATATTTCCAACTTTGAAATGTTGGTCAGAAAAAAATGTTTTTTTCAAAATTAGAACCAAGATCAGTTGATTATATATATATAATTTTTTTCAACATTGAAAGAATATTTACCAAAAACTACATTGGAACCTCTGGATGAGCTCATATTAAAATTTTTTTGTAATAATTTTTATATTTTCTTTGACAAGAAAAAAAGAGTTCGGTAAAAAAGATACTGATTTAGGAAATTCTGTAACACATGAAGTGATTATGTGGGCAGGCATACCGTATAGGCACTGACTGACACCCCCCACTGAGTGGTATGTATTTTCTTATAGTGCTATGTTGAGTATATGGAGCAACAGAAATTAAAATGCTAATAATGTATTTTTTTACAAGCATGAACTTTCATAATCAAGTAATGTTAAAGAACCTAGCTTTGACGATGTTATTGATTCTGAATGAATGGTGATAACCAAATTTTTTAATTCCAATTATAATTATCATTCTTTTTAATTTGAGAAGTAACTCTTAATGTAAAAATATCTTTACAACAAAAAATTTCAAATCCATCACCATTAAAATCCAATCTATCATTAAATTTTACATAATGAAATCATAA